TTCAGCGCCTCCGCCCGCACCGCGGAAGCTGTTGCTCAGTTTAAACTTCTCCAACTCCGGTCCAACAGAGCCTTCTTGCTCAAAAGCGTGGTTCGGATTAGCAACTCCAAAATCCAAGCAAAATGTTGAGCGTAGTCCAGTTCTGTGGCTCCAAAAAGCAGGCAAAATGTTCAGGAAAACTTCGCAGCTCCAGCTGTCGCCGGCTGACTGTTATTACGTAGCGTCGATCTGTTTTCTCATTGATGGAGTACCACTGCCTCCTGCTGGGCAATACTGGTATTGCACTAGCAGTACCAGTATATCGCCACAAGGTGCCAGTGGTACTCCATCAACACTGACCCCAGTGTGTTCTTACTTCGCTGTGTCATAAATTTTGCTGAATGACTTTGTTTGTATTATTTCTAGCAAAATGAATGAATGTTTGTACTTTAACCCACAAAATAAACTATATATATATATAAAAAGTTATAATAATGTATATTTAAATAATTAATAACAACATAACCTATGGGCTGCTGTTTTCTAGGGGGCGCTATAGAGAAATTAGGCCACGCCCTCCAAATATTGTGATGGATTCCTGTCGGGGAGTTGATGGGAATCCATCCTTGTGAGTTTGGAGCAGCTGTGCCCAAAAATGTGGAATTGAGAGCCAAACGTATGGCGATGGTGTTACAGGTCACTTTGCCATGCCGCCACGCCCACCTGCTCCATCGTAGCTGGTCGGGATTAGAATCCTCAACACACCAACATGTCTTCTGTGTCTGGGCACAGTTTCATGTTGATGAGGTCAAAGGGGTCAGATAGCGACCATTGACAGTAAAACATTACACTTCCTGTTCTCAGGGGGCGTGGCCTAAGTGATGTCATCATTCGACCATAGGGTATTGTAGGACACCCGATGATGATCAATCACAGTAACTTTGGTGCCTCTGTGAGTTTCTGTGTAAAATATAGTTATTTTTTTACGGCGAGTAGGTGAACTTTGACCCCTGCTAACCCCCTTCAACATTCTCAAAAACTCACCGTTTTGATAACTTTAGATGGGACACGCCTTATGAACAGACTGACCAAGTTTGAAGCAGATAAATCGAAATCCCTAGGAGGAGTTCGATCAAATACCAAGGCTGTAAATGGCAAAAATGGGGTCAAAATTTGAACTTCAATCTAAAATGGCCGACTTCCTGTGGGGTTTAGACCATGGCTCCAAGAGACTTTTTTGTAAGTCCTGACAAGGTACACATGTGTACAAAGTTTTGTAATTGTAGGTTAAAGCATGGCTTGGGCTGATCATTTAAAGTTTTCTAGGGGGCGCTATAGAGAAATTAGGCCACACCCACCAAATATTATGATGGATTCCTGTCGGGGAGTTGATGGGGATCCATCCTTGTGAGTTTGGAGCAGCTGGGCCTCAAAATGTGGAATTGAGAGCCAAACGTATGGCGATGGCGTTAGAGGTCACTTCGCCACGCCGCCACGCCCACCTGCTCCATCAAAGCAGGTCGGGGTTGGAATCCTCAATACACCAACATGTCTTCTGTGTCTGGGCACAGTTTCATGTTGATGAGGTCAAAGGGGTCAGATAGTGAAAGTTCACAGTAAAACATTACACTTCCTGTACTCAGGGGGCGTGGCCAAAGTGATGTCATCATTCGACCACAGGGTATTGTAGGACACCCGATGATGATCAATCATAGAAACTTTGGTGCCTCTGTGAGTTTCTGTGTAGGAGATATAGCAGTTTATTTTTTTACGGCGAGTAGGTGAACTTTGACCCCTGCTAACCCCCCTTCAGCATACTCAAAAACTCACCGTTTTGATAACTTTAGATGGGACATGCCTTATGAACAGACTGACCGAGTTTGAAGCCGATCAATCGAAATCCCTAGGAGGAGTTCGATCAAATACGGAGGCTGTAAATGGCAAAAAATGGCCTCAAAATTGGACCTTCAATCCAAAATGGCTGACTTCCTGTGATACTTGCACTATGACATTAATTGTAAATTTTGAGCGTCCTGGGGAGCTCTACAAGTGTACCAAATTTCATGTCTCTAGGATAAAGTAAGTGAATAGCAAAGGGTCCTTTGAAAATTTCTAGGTGGCGCTATTGAGCCATTTCTTGTGGGATTTTTGTGATGACCTTAAAAATCAAAATTTTTAAACAGGCTTAAGGCCTCCGCCAAGTTTGGTGAGTTTTCCAATATGATAAGGCCCCCAAAAAGCCCCCCAAAGAGGTGGGAAGAAAAATAATAATAATAAACAGTAGGAAAACAATAGGCCTTCGCAGCGCTTAGCTGCTCGGGCCTAATAATAAGAAACAGTACAGAAACAATAGGCCTTCGCAGCGCTTAGCTGCTCGGGCCTAATAATAATATAATAATAATAATAATTAAAGCTGCAAGCAGCCTCGAACGGCCCTCGCAGCCAAGCGCCGCTCCGGCCTATTGGCCACTGCGGGGTACGAGCAACCGTCGCCTCACGCCAGCCACCACAGAAGCTCTCACGCAGTTTTCAGCGCCTCCGCCCGCACCGCGGAAGCTGTTGCTCAGTCTCCATCAACGCTGCACACGTGCTAACACAGAAGTTAGCACGTGTTCAGTGTGCTACCTGCCCATGTGGGCAGTTTCCGCGCCCGTCCAGCAGGCAGTACGCATTTCTGTGATTAATTAGGTATTAATGACAGGAAGTGCTACAATATTACAACCCCAATGGATTGGTAATAAGATACTTAGCATTTTCTCAGAGCTCTTTTAAACAAGCCTTTAAACATCTTATATACATAACAACAAACAACGCTCAATGTATGAAACTGGATGTATCAAACACACTATTCAGTTTATTGAATTAGTAAAGCTCTTTGTTAGCACAGTTTTTAATGTTTACTGTGCACATTATTGATTTTTGATTACCAGCAAGATTTTTTTCTCTGCTTTTTCCTCTCATTAACAATAATGACTCCTGTGATTTTGGTAGCATTTTCTCCTTGTTTGCCAGAGTTATGAGGGGGGAACCATATATTTCAGGTGGCTAAAATGATCCGTTCCACCTCCATAACATGGGAACATTCACTTACCAGCAAGATTTTTTTCTCTGCTTATTCCTCTCGTCAACAACAATGACTCCTGTAGATTTGGTGACATTTGCTTTTTAGTTGCCAAAATTATGAGGGGGAACTGAATATTTTAGCTGTTTTAGCTGCCTGAAATAATCCGTTCCCCCTCAAAAAAACATGGGGTCAAATTGATATACCAACAAGTCTTTAATTATACTTGTTGGTATATCAAGTCTTAGGTTGTGAGGATAATATTAATGTTATTATTTTGAGTGTTTATGAGAATTGTTATCATGATTACTATTATTTGTATGTTTCTCTAAACAAAATTTGTACTTAGCCCAAACTTAATACATTAACATGGAATCTTAAAACATTTATTTCAGGAAATTTTCTTGTTCCTGAGTTTGGTGTGATGTGCTAATTTATGTATATTGTATAATGGTTAATAAATTACATTTGATAACTGTGTTTGATATATATCCTTACAACACTTTAATATAAGACAGCTATGGAAAGATAGTTTAAATTCCAAGGCCACTTACCTTTGAGAAATGAAGAGAACATTTTTCTGGTAAATTAATTGGTACCCATGTTTTGGAGGGGACACTAATTATTTCAGGTGGTTAAAATATATTGTTCCCCCTCATATCTCTGGCAAATAAAGAGCAAATGTTTTCAAACTTGCATGATTTGCTGTTAATGATAAGAGGAATAAGAACAGTTCAAGAGTTGTTGGTAAATTAATTTATTCCCATTTTATGGATGGGGAACAGATTATTTTAGCCAGCTGAAATATATGTTTCCCCCCTCGTAACTCTGGCAAACAAGGAGCAAATTCTACCAAAATCACAGGAGTTATTGTTAATTATAAGAGGAATAAGCAGAGAAAAAATCTTGCTGGTAAGTGAGGTTGTTCCCATTTTATGGAGGGGGAACGTATTATTTTAGCCAGCTGAAATATATGGTTCCCCCCTCATAACTCTGGCAAACAAGGAGCAAATGCTACATACAAAAAACAGGAGTTATTATTATTGATGAGAGGAATAAACACAGTTAAGCATTTGCAGATAAAAGAATTTGTTCCCATTTTATGGAGGGGGAACAGATTATTTCAGGCTGCTGAATTATCCATTCTTTCCTCTCCTTACTCCATAACATTGGGGAATATAGAACAACTGTTTCCAAATTCACAAAAACCTTTACATACACACTACGTGTTGGGAAAACTGTGTTTGGTGACTGACTTTTATTTCTTCCAGACTTACGTGAGAAAAGAGCGATTCTCTTGGTGTTTAAAATAACACAAAACAGCGTCAGAAGACCTCGTTTATTTATTTATTTTACAATTTTTTTAAACAACAGCTGCCAATTAAACGGAATGTTACAACATTGACATGGTTCTATTAGTTGTTTTTACAGAGAAATCGATCAGAAGCGACGTGAAAATCATCAGATTCGCCTCTTTCACCTCTCTGGCTGTAATGCGCGCTCCCGACGCAGGGGAACAGATTTTCACAGGGGCACCGAATTTCGCACAAGACCTGTGTGAAGTTGGGGCTACACGAAAGTGCTAACCCTCTTTATGCAAAAGTTGGGACCTTCATGTCTTCGCATCACCTGGATCCACTGCTTCCGTTGGTTCTCTTTCCCCACATGAACAACCAGGGACTGAACAAACACAATTGCGCCGAAACTGAGCCATTTTCCTAGCCTTTTAATGCTAACACTATAGCCACCGGAAGTTGTCCAACCCCACATCCGCTTTAAAACACGGAAGCGTGAAAAGGTCTCTTTGGGAGACGTAAACCTCTCACTGTAACTACAAAGTGACGTCACTTTGTAGTCGTAGTTGATTGGCTTGTTTGAATTATTTAAATCTGATTGGTTGGTTGATCTCTTGAACGTTGTGTACGCTGAGATTTGAATCAGTCTTTTACAGACTGTTGGAGTGAATTGCTCGTGAAAGATTTCACATCAACTTTGAAACCAGGAGAATTCCAAGCCTTTTCCAAGCAGTGCTTCCAAGTCTTTCCGTCGAAGTAAGTTTTTTGCATATATATATGATAAAGATGTTATGGATGTGACTTTCTTAAAATACGGCGCTATATTACCACCGTAATTTAAACTATTGCATAGCATCTTTTAGCTTCAGGCTATGTACCTAATATCTGCTACTGATATTGAATATAAGCTTTTAACACGTGCTAAACGTCGGCTGCGTTTTAACTAGTGATGTAATTAAGCTAAATTCTGATCACCTGTGTCGGGAGCTTGCGCTGCAGACACAGAGACGGGTTCGTTTAAATTTCTAGTTTTAAATTTTAATCAGAAGTTAAGTTTTTTTTTAATAGCTTTTTTTCTCATTGTTAATCGTTACTCTACTGTTAGTAGCTGCGAGCACGAAGTTCAGGCTGTTAGCTCTTGCTAGCGGCTCCCAAACGAAGTTCAGGCTGTTAGCTACTGTCTCTTACGGTTTTACAAAACATCTGAATTAAAAGAAAGCGAAGAGTATGTAGTTGTTTTAAGTGTTGTTTTTCTAAATTAGAACAAGACACATCTCAAAAAGAACTGCTTATTCAGTTTTCATAATAGATTTCATTGGTATTTATCGAAATAACTGTAACAGTCTTTTCATTTCTTTTAAAGTTTATTGTAAATGTAATATTAAGTTGCGGGTTGCTCATTTTTCGGTTCGTTTTTGAACATGAAGTTACTCATTTGGGCCTGAAAATAAGCATAGATTCATATTAAATCACAGATTTTCTCTCATCTAGATGCCCCGAGGAAAATCTCACCGCCGTTCGCTTGCTGCGAAGAAGCGCATGGAGGCAGGTCGGACTGAGCGTCTAGAGACATCAACGTCTTCCAGCGACTTTGTTCCACGTCAGTGTTTAATTACATTTATTTAAATTCAATCTCTTATTTGGATGTCAAATGAAATATCCCGAGTTCACAGTCTATATTTAAATAATTTTTCTTTCTTTTTACATTTCAATAGGGCGTGGTACCGGCTGGCGCCATGCTGTGAGACCGTGGCCGGCTAGAAGTGACCAACCACTGTCACAAGCTGGTCATTCCAGAGGGACTGCCCGATAAGAAAGTAAGTAAAATCAGCAACAGTTTCAAATAGAATTTATAGGCCTAGTTTTTATTTTGCTGTATTTTTCTATTTTAGTTTGTTCTTCTGATCGGCGCGTCCCATTTGAGAACGTTTGCGGACGACATTGTTCAGATGGCAAGCGGCTGTTTCCAGTTTGGGTTCATGTCCACTCCTGGTGCTTGCGCAGCTGACTTGCGTCTCGAGGTGTTGAATGCAGTTCTGCCTCGGGAGCCTGATGCTGTTTGCGTCATGGCTCCATCAAATAACCTTACGGCCAGCCGTCACCCAGAAGAAGCTGGGCAGGAATTTGAGAAATACCTGAAGGCTGTCTGTAGCCGTTGGCCGAAGGTACTGTAATCACTGTGGTTTATGAAAACCAGAGGTTCTCAATGGTATTTCACAGAAACTTCTGCATGTTTAGGTTTCCCTTCAGACTTGCATATAAAACATGCAGAGCAATGGTCACTGAGATCTGTAATAAACAAACAGTGATATAAACATCATTTTTTTAATAGGTTCATAGGTAATATAAATCTCTAAATTTGTTATTTGTATAGGTTTTTTGTACCGGCTTCGTTCCTCGTTTAACTGAGCCCAGAGAGAAGCAGACCTTGTTTGAACAAGAATTCCACCGCAGGTCGGCAAAGCTAGGTAGGTATTTAAATATTTCTCATTATGTTCTTGGTTGGGAAATGTATTGCAGCTCTTTTTATCTTTTAGTGAATGTTTGAAAATTTATTTTCATTTTATTATTGTTTTCAGGGATTCGGTATTATCCTCTCGCTGACTACTTCTCTCTGAACTCCCTCAATCTGTGGTGCCGCGATGGTGTGAGTACTTCATTTCAAACACACTAAGAAACAATTTTGCATTTATATGACATGCTGACCTTATCTATGATTCTTCATAGATCCACTTGTCTGACGACCACGGCATGCAAATCCTGAAGGAACTGATTTGGGTGTTTTCCTATCAGTTCATGGAGTCCTCAGCACCACAGCCACTGGTGCAGAGTCAGAGAACTCCTCCGTATCAACCGAGGTTTGTGCCCCGTGTGGTAGTTAAGGGAGAGGAGCGTTCTCGACCTGCTTCTCCACTCCCTACTGAATGGATGCTTGTGAGATCCGGCAGGAAGGTATGACTTTTTTTGTTTTTGCTTGCAGTGGAAGAAAGATGTTTAACTTTAGCTAGTCATCCTAAAAATTACATATCTCTACCTTTGCAGAGGAACCACTCGGGAGAATCAGACGATTCACCCAAGAAAGAGTGGTTCATTGCCAGGTGCGTCAGACTTGCACCTTTATATAATGTCAATGTCATTGCTCTCGTAATAATTAAAATTTTGCTCTTGTAGAGGGACCACACTGCTGTGGCTGTAACGCAGTGTGCCATCCCGTCCAATCCTGTCCGTTTCTCACCCGCTGTTTTGGTTGCCATGGAAACAGTTTCTCCATCGGCCCTTTCAGATGTTCGCACAGGCACCGAGGTAACTTGCAAAATACTGCAATTATCAAGTATCATTTTTTAAATTTTATAAATAACACATCTACAATATTTGATGTTACAGACAAAGCCTGTGGAACATACAAAAAAACCACCTGTCTCAAAGTTTAGGCGTGTGAGACAGAAGGTATGTAAAAGCATAAGTTAATTAATGATCTCTAGTGCACATGACTTTATTTAATTTGTTTTGTTTGTGTTTTTATTTCTCTAGGTTTCAGCTGCATCTCCTGTAACTCCTGACAAAGATGCAGAATTTGTGCCGGCTGAAAACACTGTAAGCGTTTTGCACATTAAAGTTAAATGTGTAGTTAATGAATGTTCAACAGTGTGAAGTATTTTATTGAAAACATATCACATTATATATTGATTTTGTGCAATATCAACTTCTTATGTTTTTTATTTCATTTATTTGTAGGTCGTACTCAAGCGACCCAGGGTGTGTTTGTCTGACGCGCGTTCTGCCTGTCCTCGTGTGGCGTCCGAGTGTCCTGCTGTGGGGGCTGCCTGTCCTTTGGAGGTTCCTGTTGGCCGGGAGGTTTGTATAGTAATGTCCTGCTATTTCTCTGAATAAAAGATTTTTCTCTGAGTGTTGTTCTTTTCATTGTAAAATTTTCATCACATAATTCAGATCTCTTCCAAATTATTGCCATTGGGTTATATAATAAGTCTGTTATGTATAAATAAAACGGCATCAATTTGCAGTAAGGAGAGATTTAAACTTAAATGTAGATATTCTTTGAGGCATGCCTTCTTAACTGCTAAGCCTGTGAGCAGACTCCGTATAAGCGGAAGAAATTGAATGGTTTGTATTTTTAAAGGACATGTACTAAAAATAATAATTAAGGCTTAAGTGAATAGATTTCTCACAATGAATCAATTTCTGAAGTAATTCACAAATTTAGTAAATAGTCATTATCTGCACTATTTTGGGTCAAAAGGCCATTTGCTGTAAAGTAAGATTTAGAGTAATTTAAATGCATTGTATAAAAGTCAATATTTTTTCCATTTAAGCTAAAACAATAAAAATAATAATTTCTCTGTTAGTTTTGTAATATGTTTCAGAAGCTTTTGGTTGAGAATTGTATGATTTTCTGCAGCACAGTTGGACTGAGAGAAATTTAAAGTTTCTTCTCAGGCAACCATTAGCCTGTGCTAAAAGCCATTGCAGGTAAAATAATGCATATTTTTGCTGGAATTTCACTTCCATATTCTTAATTTATTTGTTTTACATATTGTTTAAAACAGAACATTAGCACAATGTGTATTTTCTTTTCTAATTTTATTGAAATATTGGATAATTGTAAGTTTCAGTTCTGTTAATCATATTACATTTAATAAAGCCTGAGGATGTAGAAATATCATGTTTTTCATATTTTCATTGTAGACGCCTGAGGAGATGGGTCATTTACAGCGCGTGGAGACTTCACCCAAAGGTCAGGCTGTTAACCCCGTTCCTTGCTGGTGTTCAAGCGAGCTTCCACAGTCTCTTGTTCCAGGGACATTTTTGGGTAGTAAACAGTCTACACATAACTCAATGTCATGTAGTGTTGTAGCAGCAATAAAACACCACATTTCTCCCATTTGTACTTGGAAAACATCTGATGTAGATGAAGTCGTTGTACAAGGTCGGCATTTGGCGGAATATATTGCGCGAGAAAGACCAAACCGAGGTCCAAAGCCAGAGTTGTGCAGGTTGGTTGAAGATCAGCCTATTTTTGGTCGTAAGTGGAAAGTTGGAATTGGAAACATGATGTTGGGGACATTTGATTTTCAGCAGGAGGAGGAACTTTGTGAAATATTAAAGAAATATTTGTCGAGTTATGGAATGTGTCTTTTTGGTCTTCCTGGTGCAAATACCCTGGTAATCCAGCATGGAGACTACTTTGTTGTTGTGGACTGTGGAACACGGAATTCACAGGGCTTGGCATCAGACTTCGGTACCTCTGTCGTCGTGTTTAACACGTGTTTAAATGATTTAATGATTCACCTTGTTAACCTCAGGGAATCACTGAATGTCGCTCAGTATGCAGTCTCTGGTATTTCTGTAAAAGAAATGTATACTAATGTGGAGACATATGCAGCAGTCACTTCGCACACACAGGCTACAGATACATGCCATAGTGCAAGTAGCCATGTTGCATCGCTCAGTGGATCGTTTCATCAGGGGGATCGCTTTAAATATGCTGGACTTCAGTGTGCAGCCATAAGTGCTGTTGCTTTAACGAAGCACACACTTGTCAGTGTTTTCTCATGGAATGCTGACATATTGGATGATGTAGTTATTTTAGGTGATGAGCTCTATACATTTTTGCGTGATAACAATTTAATCAGTGGTGGAAGTCAGCTTCTCTCTGTCCCAGACTTACCTAAAAATGCATGTTGATGGGCAATGTTTTGAGTATGCTTATGGGGACTATGTTGCTGGGGATGTCGATGTACTGGAAGGAGAGTTTATTGATGCAGGTGTCCACACTAGTCTTTGGGATGGACTCAGTAGGATGTGTGGAAATTATGAAACATGCTTTATCACAATAAGTGGCAGTACTTGTGCCCTTATTAGTTCTAATGAACGTTATGCTGTTGTAGACTCTCATGCACGCAACACCAAGGGCATGGTGCATGAAAATGGGAAGAGTGTTGTCCTTTACTTCAATACTCTTCATGATATCTTTGTGTACATTATGAAGTTTTCTGGTGAACTCCACGACACTCCCAAATTATTTGAAATCAGCGGGTTCATATTGTTCAGATGGACTCAAGTAAACTTGTTTCTGAACATTTAGTTGCTGTTCCAGAGAGCAGTGGTCTTTTTGATGACAAAACACAAGTGTTGATATGCAAGACAATTCTTGTGGAGTACATTCATCCCAACTTGACATTTCAGACATGGATGATGTTGATGATGTTGTTGTTACTGATGTCCAAAGTAAGGTTTTGTATTTTAACCCCGTCTCTGACGAGATTGCACAGTCACTGTGTGGAAAGTTGAATGTGGAGTTTCAACGGGCAAATTCTGTATCTTGTGTGGTTGGGGTGTTGGGTGTGCCGTGTATGTCGGAAAAAATTGTTGGATGGAAACTGCTTTTTCAGAGCACTTAGTCAAGCCATTAGTGGCACCCAGAAAAATCATCGCAAAATTAGGCTTGCTGTTGTAAACCAGTTGCAAAGGAATCTCACATGTATGACAGCATTTTAAGAAGCGAGTATTCCTCCATATCACAATATATTGCCATTTCAAGGATGCAATATGTTGGCAGTTGGGCAACAGAAGTAGAGATTAAGCTGCAGCTGATTATTTTGGTGTTAATATTTTCACATTTTGCGATGATAAATGGCTTGAATATTGTTCTTTCAGCAGTTTTTCCAATCATGGTGTCTATATGCAAAATATTAGCGGAAATCATTATGAGACGGTTACTTGTGTCAAGCAGTCTCATTCACAAACATGTTATGGTTATTGCATGAATACAGATGTTTCTGGTGAATCTAAAACTAGGCAAACTAAAACAAAACCAAAAATTGCACGTATAAAGACGGTGAACACTGACACTTCCATTGAAGATGAGTGCGTCGGTATTTTACAAGACAATCAAAATACTTTGCTATTTTCTCCCATTTCAGAAATTACTGCTAAAACTCTGTGTAAAAATCTAAAAATAGACTTTGAAGAACATAGTTTAAAAAATGTAATATTGAATGGGCCTTTGGGAAATGTGTGTAAGACTAAAAATATTATAAATGACGGTAACAGTTTTTTCAGAGCTGTAGCGTATTCACTTAGTGGTTCTGAGAAAAATCACCGTAAAATAACTCGCTGTTATTTCACACATGTCCAATAATACAGAAGAATGCGCAAAATATTTGACAAAAGATTTTGCTTCTGTGGCAGAATATGTTAACCAGTCACAGATGAAGTATGTTGGTCACTGTGCTACGGAAATTGAGTTTAAATCTGCTGCTCAAATGTTAGGCCTGGATATATATGTATTTAATGGCACACAGTGGACCAGATATAATTCAAAAAGTAATAATTTCACCAATCAAGCAATATATTTGCAAAACTGTGATAAACACTTTGATGTCGTAATTTGTTTAAAGCAAGGTGATAAAGACTCTTGCTTTAAACTTTGTGGAGAAATGTCGGTAAACACACAACGCATGCGTACGAGGTCTGCCCAAGTCCAGAAAAATGCAAAGCAAACTGTTTTAAGCGATAAAGCAAATTACAGTTTTTCTGTGTATTTAAGACAAAAAAGAATCAAATAAATACCATTAAATATAGAACTAAAATGGCATATAGGCAAAAATGTAAATTTATTAAAAGAAATCTGTATAAGAAAAATTTGCTGTACAAGGAACAAAAAAAAAATTGGAGGAAAAAGAAATATTGGGGAGATGATAATTACAGAAAAAATCTTAGGCAAATTAGCATTACTAAATATAAGGACGACAAATGTCATTGTGAAAAAATGAAGAGAATGAGCATTACTAAATATAAAAACAACAAATCTCATCGCGAAAAAATTAAGAAAATTAGTATTACTAAATATGAAATGAATATCACCGAGAAAAACTTAAGAAAAGGAGCATTGCTAAATATAAAGATGATGAATATCACCGAGAAAAACTTAAGAAAAG